ATAAAATATAACGCTGAAGTAAAAGATTCCAGTGAGCGCAATAAATATTGAAGTATAATCTTGTTCTCATATACTAAGGAAGCCTAGAATAGACTTATTAGGATTTTCTTTTTTTTCGGTAGTGCGATTACTTATATTTTGAAACCACTATGAAGTACTAATATATTTATAGGAATATATAAAGTTACTTACTCATATATGTAAAAAGAATACCGTCCTTGTGGGATATAATTAATTATTGAGCACAGCCCCTTTCTGTTTTTTTGATTCTCCTTAGAATAAATAACGGATATGTTCCTATTATAAATTTAATTTTTTCGAATAAGTGTAAATTCTGAAAATTTAATATTCAATTACAGAGACTTTTCCTAGAGTGGACAAAATTAGAACATCTTAATCTTCTACAGACTTCAACAAGAAATAAACTGAGGGAGTTACATAAATTTAGATTGTGATAGATCTTGGAGTAGTTCAGAATTACATAAAGAATCATTTCTGGCAGTAGAAAAAACCTGTTTCCTATAAAATGTTATTAATTCCCCATGGTTTGCCACTTTTAAGACCATATAGAAGCGATGCTATCTACTGTTTTCTTCCCTGTTTTGTTGAAATTGTGACAGCAGTAATAAGATATATTACAACCGATACTTCATGCAGAGGGTGGGGGAATGCAGTATTGAATTATGAATAAAAATTACTAATAACAGATATGCCTAGATATAGCGACGTTTTCCATTTTGCATATCCTTAATTATAGTAAATTAAAGAAAAACTTACAGCATTTCTCTTTTAGAAGCTCTAAGAGAACTCACATTTTCGGTGTAAACTAACGATGAATGAATTTCGAGAATCCTAAGGGAGATAATAGCTGAAAAAATACACATACTTTAGATACCTGTATACATTGCTATCATTTATCGATAACAGCCTATGTGTTCTTGAGCTCTTTACACCTTTGTATGGAACATATATATAGCCATGAATATACATACATATATGTATGTTTCTTCTCCTTTATATGTGGGATTAGTTCATCTGTTATAGAAATAAAAAGTGCTAACCTGGTGAATTATGATGCCCCTCTGGCGTCATACAATGGGGGACTATTGAGGGAAACAACGGGAAGGAAAAAGGATGATACGAAGGGTCTATATTTTTACGCGTAGACAGAGCCTAGTTACTAGTATATGCAGATTCAGACGAGAAGATTGTTCATTTGGCATAAGAATGTGCCCCCCAGAATTACACGATTGTTCATGACGTGTCCTATCTATGCATATATAAGAGGAGTAATGGATTGTTGAATTTGAACTGGTATAATATGAGTTCTAATTTTATATTGAATTTTACTTCTTTGTTGCATACGATTGAAAGGGCTGATATAGCGAGTAAATGTGTTTATGTCCCTCTGTGGGAACTCCTGTGAGTGCAATGGAATAGAACTATGTAGATCAAATGGGTAGAGCGTGAAATGGTGCGCCGTTGTGTTTAAATTGCTTGTCTGATAGTTACGTTATTTCTGTGAATGCGTCCTCATGCTCATTCTTTCTGGGAGCCCGTTTTTCGATTTTTGGATATCTTCACAAGCATTCCCCGGCACGACGCATTCTTGCTGTGTATGTTCTCTCAGGTTTTTGCATTTTTATAACTGTATTAATTCATATCGCAACTTCTTTGCATATCAATCCCCATGCTACCTAGTGCCTGTCGATGCGCGCTCGTGTTGTATCATTCTCATGATGGTTCTTTCCATGTTTCTGCATTTTTATGAGAGTATTTTTTCATGGCGCCTGTTTCTTATATATCCCTCTTCATATGGCCAGATTTTGCGAACGTCGCTTCACATGGAGTAATTTCGCGAACGTCCTCTCACGTGTCGTAATTTCGCGAACGTCCTCTCACGTGTCGTAATTCTGTGAACGCATTTCCATGTGGCGTAATTTTTGCGAACGTGGTTTCATGTGGCGTAATTTTGCGGAGGTCGTTTCACGTGGGGTAATTTTGCGGAGGTCGTTTCACGTGGGGTAATTTTGCCAACATAGTTTTATGTGGCGTAATTTTGCCAACGTAGTTTTAGGTGGCGTAATTTTTCGCGGACCGCTTTCATGTGGCTTCGTTCTGAAAGTTTTTTCATGTGGATC